AGCCCTCACTTATCTAAATACATGTTGTGAGACAGCTGGGAAATGCCCATTTCTGCTGCATAGATCATATATTGGAGCACAAACTCTGTGGTGCAGTCTTTAGGAAGCAGGATTATATGACCAAAACAATGTGCTATAGCTACTATTTTATATCAGTACTGCTCCCTTCGTATTCCACCTCCTCTATTTAAGCATATTAAAACATATAAAAGGGTCTTAAATATACAGCTACCCCTTTGTGAATACCTTTATTCAAAGGTCATTACAATTGCAATTTATTTTTATTGCACATTACATAACACAAAAATCCTTTAAGTTTATTATGCATTTAATATAGAAGGAAAAAAGCAGCCATAATTAAAACTTTAAAAAAGAGAGATAAAGTCCGGGGACAAAAGGGCAAGCGAGTGCAGAATATTTAACTTGGACTTAAAAACTGGAGTTGGAACTATTTTTTTCTCTGAAAAAAGTTCCAGCTCTTTTTTGTTTTGCTGCACGATATCGAAATGCTGCTGCTGCTTCTCCTTTCTCCATGTTTTTGGTTTTGCACCCCGGGAACAGTTGACCTAACAGGTCAAGAGGGTTCATGTGGTAAAAAGGGACAGTCAGAGCTGTAAGCCATCGAGAGCTTCACAGACAAGCAGTGGTGCAGTTTAAACTCTGTACCCTCTGACATGTTCGAGGTCAGTTGAAGAGTCCTGGGATATAATGTGATGTATTCGGTATTTCTGACTCTTGCAGCAGCATTCTGAATGAGCTGAAGTTGTCGAAGAGTTTTTTTTTTTTTTTTTAGGGGAAACCTGAGAGAGAGAGAAACTTTACGATAACGCACTGCCAGAGCTGAGCACATAAACGCCCGTTAATCTGTTAATTATCAACTCATAATAATTAGTTTATTACTCATTAACTTGGATGTTAGTTTGAAAAATGATTAAGGGAACATTTCACGCCCATCAAATTTGGTTTCTGTCACTTAAATTGAATTTTGCTAACTTAAGTCAGCTGACCTCAGCTGCTCTTGTCTCTCCAAAGAGACGAGACTGTCGACCCGCTGTCATATCTGTTCTTTATGCGTTACATTAACGCCCACTGGACTTTAAATTTATTGGCCTTACATGCACTCTGTAAGTAGTTACACACACTAAGATTTTTTCTAATAGTCCACTGCAAAGCTCCTACATGGCACCTTTTGTACATTTTGTGTTTTTTTTATTTTTTTCGTTTTTTTTATTATTATTTTTTTTTTTTTCTTTTAATTTTTAAATTATATTTTATATATTGTAATAGCTTCTTATAATGTATTATTTAAGTTGTTGCTAGTTCTGATTTATTTCCTTGTTAATGCTTAGCACCAATACACCAAGTCAAATTCCTTGTGTGTGTAAATGTACTTGGCAATAAACCTGATTCTGATTCTGATTCTGATCTTTATTCAACTCACACGTCTCCATCATGGTGTGATGGCAGAAAGAAAGCCCTGTCTCTACTCAGCCTCTCATTGGCTATAGAAGCCATAGGAACAGTGCATGGAAGGTCCTGATTGGTCAAATGAGGTGTCAGTAGAAAGGGCAGAGTGAACCGATGTCTAGTAGAGTAAAAAGTTGAAGAGTGGAGGGAAAGTTTGAATCAACCTGTGAATCTTAATGGACATAATAATGTGTTTGGATTAAATCTTTTACTGGATTTGGATCATGGGGAGTACAGTGAGTCGTTCAGAGTCAGACAGTTAGAAAAATAAATCTGAAAAACATGTTTGTTTGTCGGTGGTCTGACAGATGTGTAGATTGTGGTTGCTGTGTTGGTTGGATCTTAAAATGGTTTACATGGTCAGAATCACAAGAATCATGGCTTTCTAGAGTACAGCACTTGTTTAAGAGATGGTGTGTCGGCCCCCTCGCACTCATTTGTATTGTTGTTGTCTCTTGGTGGTACACAAACCGTGCGATTCTCGTGATTTTGTCAGAGCCGGGTCGTGACAGATGGTAATAATTAGAAAACACACTTACAGTCCTTCTCCAAATGAGCAAACTCTATATTTTTACCAGGCTTGAATCATTTGTATTTCTGCTGTAGAAACGTGAAAGTGTGTATGTGACTCCCGGGGCTTTTGCAGCCAGCCTCTAGTGGACACTCGATGAACTGCAGTTATTTTTTTTCACTTTGCATTGGCTTCATTTTTCCACACTGGGGGGTTTGCCAGTTAAATTTGACACAACAGAAGGATCACATAATATGATTTCTATCATCTTTCCACTTGAGTGGTGCGAATAAAGGCCTCCCCTTGATCTGACAGCGTGGTTACATCAGACAAATAAAGAAGCTCTATGTAAACAACTGCTTTGCGTCGAGGTACTAAATCAATTTAAATATGTATATGTAAAGCTCTAGTTCACACATTCATCTAACAAACAAACAATTCAACAAAAGCTGTTGGATGAATAAAAATCCTGACACATTTCTTCAGATCATGTTTGTAAAGATGTAGGAGGGTAGATCACAGCCACACGCTCGCACTTGGATACGACGACTGTTTTCACACTCATCACTTCATTTCACATGTTGCACCTTCAAGTGTATTTATGTCTACATAAAAGCCTTTAGCCTTTTTGGTACTAATGTGTTCTTGTTTTGTTTTGTGATTTGCACATAAAAATAAAAAAAAATAGAAGAACAAGACCGACACTACACGAGGATGTGAGGGAGAATTGCATGAAACCCATGAGGGGTTTGTAAAGTGCCATTCCCTCACATCCTCAGAATAATAAACATATAAAACAAGGAGAGTATAAACAAGAACTGGGCAGGGGTACTGGGCAGCAAGGCTTTACTACATATTCATCTATTGTACAAATATATTAAAGGTGACATATCCTCCTCCTCCTCTTCAACCAGTTTAAATAAGTCTCAGAGCTCCTCAAAAGTTTCTTGTTCTAAATCCACTCTGATCCTGTATTTGATCATGTCTATAAACCCCTCTATTTCAGCCCTGCTCAGAACAGGCTGTTTCTGTGTCTGTACCTTTAAATATGTAAATGAGCTGTGTCTGACCACGCCCCCTCTCTGGAAGGGCTTTGTGTGTACTCGTGCTTTCTCGCTCCATGTCCTATTGTTTACGGTGAGAAGGCAGACTCAGAGGGCAGAACAAACACCTAGCTGTGGGAGTGTCACCCACCTGGGGGAGGGGCTACTGCCCTTTGTGATGTCATGAAGGGAAAATCGCCAAACGGCCTGTTTGAGCACAGATTTTCTGAAAAGTGGAGGAGGTAAAAGGTGGAGAGGATGGACTTTTCTCATCATTGGGGGGTTTGTAGACGGACTAGAGACACATATTAGTGTTATAAAAACATGGTGAAGTGGATTTAGCATAACATGTGACCTTTAAAATGTCTACGACATCAAGAAATAACAACAACCTCTTTCAAGGCATGTATATGTAAGCATAGTTGTGAGTACAGTCTCCAAACATGCAGACATGTACTGTAGCTTTTAATAAAAAGGAGAGAGAGGGAGTAAAAAACACAAAAAATGACATGAAAAGGTGTGGGAAGAACTCTTTTCAGAGCTTTGTTTTTCTTCTGCTTACAGGTGGAATGGCTGAAAAACGAAGAACCCCTCAGCTCCGACGGCGTCATGGATACAAGAGGAGACCACAATCTCATTGTCGCAGAGGCTCGCCTCTCCGACTCCGGGAACTACACCTGCGTTGCCAGCAACATCGTGGCCAAGAGGCGCAGTGCAACCGCCACTGTAGTGGTCTACGGTGAGTTAGCTAATTAAAGAAATACGTCTTTGTATATTTTAAAACAAAAGTCAGATCTAAGTTAAGTTTTGCCGCACAACACAGACGATCAAAACAATGTCAAACAGCTTTCTTGTCTGCATCAAAATGTCGTTTTTCACTACAGACGGCAGCTGTCAAATTGGCCCCCATAAGCAAATTCCCCGAAGTCATTAATATAAAAAGGCCTGCTCGACCGCAGCGTGTGGTCCCTTTTTCACACACAAGAGTCTAATGAGCAGGTAATGGGCAAGTGATCCCTCATGTGTGAAAACAAGGCGACACGGGCTCGATATTTACAAGAACTCAATTATTAATGGGGGGAAAGGCAGTGACAAGGACTGTGACAACCCCCCCCCCCACACTCTCTTGCTTTTATCTGCCAGTGCTAAACACCATGTGTGTGTGGAGCGTTTTTGTGTAGCTGCAGGCCAGCAGACACCGTTTCCCAGTATATTTCATGGCCCCTGCAGAGAGCTTTGCGGCCACAAAGGGAGAATAAGGGAAATTAAAAATGTCATACTCACGCTGGAGAAACTCCCTGTTAGTTGGAGAGTTTCTGTGCTTGTTTTCACTGACCTTTCATCCTTGTTATTTATTTTTTTCAGAAGGGGACATTTAGCAGCTGTGGGAATTCGTCTAATTCTTTCTGACACCCCGCTGCTGAGGCACATCAATCATTAATATTCCTTAATGCTAATGAAGTCTCTGACAAGGCTTACGACTCCCAGTAGCCGCAGACAGATGTAAAAAATAGTGGGACGTAGTATTTCTTCCTGTGCCCGTGACAGCAAATGAGCTTATTAGTCAATCATTCCGAATTATTTTAAAGCAACAAATCAGAGGTTGGAAATCGAAGCTGACGGCAAGGGAAGACGCCCTTGATCATCTTTGTACAGACGTCTCATTCTCTCTCTCCTAATAAGATATTCCCTTTCACCTTCAAGTGAGAGCCTGTGATGCTTATTTTTTCTTGACAGAGCGTGTGTTCTTAAGCTCAGAATGTAGGCCAGATTTTCCTTTTCCTACTCATTCTTTTTTTTTCCTCACACAGTGAACGGAGGCTGGTCGTCGTGGACCGACTGGTCTCCCTGCAATGTGCGCTGCGGCCGCGGCGTGCAGAAACGCTCCCGCACCTGCACCAATCCGGCCCCTCTCAACGGGGGCGCCTTCTGCGAGGGCATGTCGGTGCAGAAGAGCACCTGCAACACGCTGTGTCCAGGTGAGCGCGAAAGGACACCACTTTCCATCCGCCGTCAGCGTTTTGTGTGCAATATTATGCAACTTTCAACCAAAAACCTTCAACCTTTGTAAACTGTTATAGCAGCTTCCACCTCCCAGAGGTGAAGTGAGTCAGACTTTACAGCACTACTTTTTGGCAGCCAGTCTTCGAGCAGTACCCCTTCTTTAGCTCTGTATTCACAATAAATACATCACGGCAGCGCTGAATTGACCAAAGGGACGTTCATTGAGGAGGAGAGAAAAAGAGAAAATGAGCTGAAGCATCGAGCTGTGACGGGCTTTTAGTGATTGGCGGAGAAGGGAATTGTAAACCAAATTTGTATTACATGCATTGTTGCAAAAAAAACATATACATTCCTGCATGATTTTGCTTTAAAGGCTTTATATGTGAATTTTCACACTTAAATATAAATCAAGTATCTCCTCTGAAAATAACTCTGTGAGTCATGACTGTCTACAATGGGTGTAACACCCGAGTCCCACTGTCTGTGATGTTTTCAGAGTTTTCAGAGTCCTATCTTCACTTTGTTTACATCGCCCGGACGGCCAGCTGACTCCTCCCCTCGTGTATAAAAGTTGTTTAATTGAGGGACTAGAGAAAAGAAGAATAACATACTGTACTCACTGCTTAACTGTGTTTCTAGATCACGCTCATTTCAGGTAAATTTACATGCAGTGTGAAGATAAAGCATAATAAAGATCGCTAGCATTAGCATGCTAACACAACAATGCAGCGCGAGTTGCTTTGGTTTCATGCTGGTGCTCAAGGGCGACATCTGCTTGATCCAAAAATCACATATAAAGACTTTAAAGACAGGGTTGGTAATTTTCCAAAACTGGAATGATGATTTTAGCATGATTTTGAAAGTAGCATTCCCTCAGTGCTCCGTCTGCACCCACCGCCTCCCCTCTGTGCTCCCTCTAAAGCCACGCCCCCTCACTTACATCCAGAAGTGGACCTCAGTTCATCTCTGTCATTGTGTAGAAACTGCGTCGTCTCATGTCTCATTCAGCGGTCAGTAAACTCTCAGTTTAAACTCCTAAAGTCATCGGTGACGAGCTTTGAGTGTGAGCTAGAGCACGCAAGAGGTAGAGAGTGAGCAGGGAGACAGGGAGGCGTCTGATTGGTTCATCAGATTGGTACCTCGTGGCTTACAAACTGATACAGATGATGGATTTTTTTTTGTTCCTTTTTCAGAGAACATGAGTTATTAATTTCTGTCAGGACCTGAAGACAATTTACACCAGAATCTGAAAAAAGTGGAATCTGGAGGAAATGACCAACCCTGACTTTAAACGTGATGGTTGTATCTTCATGGATTTTTAACTGTTCTCCCACCCTGCTGCTTCAAGTTTAATCAGAGAAATACATCAAATAGAACAGACTTCAGATGTGCGTCCACTGATCATCTGGAACAGTTTTATCATTTAACTGTTTTTTTTCTTGTCTTAAAGAGATAGTGCAACATTTTTTTTGGTAGGTGCTTATTTGCTTTCTAGCCAAGTACAACATGATGAGATAAACACCGCTCTTATCCTCGCCTGTTAATTGTAAGATAAGAAAGAGTTTGATTTATCCTGTGGGAAAACGTTGTGCAGAATGACACAAAGTGTGCAAACGTGAATATCAATAGGATGCAAATTAAAATGTAGGTGACTGCAGATGTATAGGAAGTATCTAAAATAAGTGTGAAAAGCCTCATAAAGCTGTGCACGTTCACCTGAAATCTGAAGTGATGGTAGGTGTGGAGGTTAATTCAACACGTTCATGATCATATCCCTGATACTGCAGATTCTGTAATGTCCCATTATTGCACATTATGTCCCATAAAATATGAAGCTATAGCCAGCAGGCGGTTGGCTTAGCTCTGCACACAGACTGGGAGCAGGAAGAGGAAAACTGCAATCTAACAAAAGATGCACATCAGCACGAAAGCTCCCAAAAGGATATTTTCTACCACGCACTGCACATCTGTGAGTGGTGCACTGATTCCTGTTGTATGTTTGTCGTCTTTGCACGTCACCATCCCACCCTTTAGCGCTCCTCTCAAACCTACAACTCACTGCAGAATATTCATCATGACAGCTTTTATTGAATATTTATAAAGCTGTTGAAAAATGAGGCCAATACAGAAAATGCAAAATCCTGCAGTTCCTCAAGTGTCCACTAGAGGCTGGCAGCAGACGCACAGGAAGTCACATACACACCCATTCAGAAAAGCCTGTTTTTAAACCAGAGATTAACATGTTTACAGCCTGGTTAAAAAAAAATTAAATAGGTCTGATTGGCTCAAATTTCATACACTGTAAATATTAATGGATGAAGCCTGAGTGACGACACCCGTCTGTTCCTGCAGGGGGCGCTGGAGTCCTATCGATGGCGGTCTCCATGTTGGAAATGCTGTCTCAGTCTAACTTTCAGTCAACCTAACGACAGGCTGAGAGCTGGAGCTGAGGCGGGTTTTAAACCTCCTGACAAACCGTTACATCGCGCCCACCTGTCAATCATGCCAGCTACACGCCCAACTATTGATAACACGTATCGTTCATAAAATTAAGATGGATGAGTCACCAAAAAATCCCCCCCCCCCATACAGTGTGTGCCAGTGATGACAATAATTAATCAGACCTGTTGTGTTTTTTTAAACCAGGCTGAAAACATGTTGATTTATGTTGTAAAAATAGCTTTTTTGAATGGGTGTGTATGTGACATCCTGTGTTCCTGCAGCCAGCCTCTAGTGGACACTCCAGGAACTGCATGATTTTACACTTCAGCATTTGCTTCATTTTTTAATACCGGAGGTTGCAGCTTGATATTTATGCACTCCATATAAATGTTGTGATGCTTACTATACGAGCTCAGGCAGACGACCCGAGCTGCAGAGATTCAGACTTTACATTTGTCATTCTCACAATCACTAATCACACCCATCCTCCCGATGAAGCTACAAGATTTTCTCTCTCTCTCTCTCGCTCTCTGCTCTGTCGTAGCTATGCTGTCTCGTCCAAGTGCTTCACTTCCCCCCACAACACCAGCATCCACCTGAATCCAGATATTTTGTCAGATCACTAAATCTATGAGGAGTGATGAGGTCGGAGCCCAGAAGACATAACTTAAACTCTGTACTGCTGCTGCTTTAAACATTTCAAACCATTGCAAACGTGTTGTCAGACTGAAATATATAAATGTATAGTCTGTTTTAGGACGTGTGCAGGTTGGGCGTGACTACATCTCATTGTAAAGTTGTGTTTTCAAACTTGACCCTTGTTTGTTGTCTTGGTGTAAAGAGCAGTATTTGTAATAGAACAGTTTCCTGCAGCACATGACTCAACAAAAGAACACTAATTGCTGTTTTTTTTTTTTTTTTACACAATGATGTTAGTTGAGATTCAGCAAACAAGACAAATGTGTTAATTAGTGAGCTTTTTGGAGCTGCTCGTAAGAGAATTGTTTCACCTTTGGGCAGAGCCAGGCAGATGTTTCACCTCTGCTGAAGCTGAGCTAACCCGGCTTATTTCACCAACAAAGTTTTTGTTTTCTATAAAACAAGCAAGTTAATTTCCATGAAATGTTTTTTTGTTTATGAGCCGACGCTGTGAATACATGTCCTTGAATACATCACTGCTTACGGATCCATGCTGACACTCAACATTCAGCAGTAGGCGTAGTTGTTGTTATTTTTGTCTGAGTGATTAATTAACGCCTCTATACACACACACAGGTGTGTTTCATTATTCCAGGTGATTAGACCAGGGCAGGTTGAGAAATCATGATGTAACCAAAATGTAAGATAACAGGTCAACACAGCTTCTTTCAAACTAACAGGTGAGTGGAGCTGTCAGTCAAACAGACTTGACCACGCCCACCTGAAGATGAGACTGAGGGTGCGTTCGAATTGTCCCTCCTATCTCCTTCACTATCCACTTCACCTTAACCCCGCGAAAACGTCATGAGGTTAAGGAAAGATGTTAGGAGAATTCATAAAGGACTTAGGGAAAGGCGATCTCGTTGCTCTGACAATCCGACCACATTTTCCACTAGGCCACGTCATTAAATGTGACGGGCCGGCGGAGGTTAATGACGTGGGTCTGCCGTGTTGAAACTACAATGTTCAGAAAATGGACTACAAAAAACACATCTAAATCCTTTCCCCTGTGCTTCTTACCGGTGAAATAATCCTGATCACCACGAGGTTGGGATTGAAATAAAAGAAATATAGACTACCAGGCTACAAGTAAGAAAAGTGAAACCATCAGCTTCCTGTCCAATCAGAAATCAACATCAACATAAATATGATTGGATGAAATGAATTGTTACATTAATGTAAGATATAACCTACACATAATGTTTTAAACATAGAAATGTACAGCAGCACAAAACATTCTTAAGTTAATTAAATATGTTGAACAAAACATCACCTGTGTCACTTTACGATCATCGTTATGTTCCTGAACGGTCGGATGCTCAACTCGCTTTAAATGTTGGGGCCGCAAGGAATTGTGGGACGTCATATCTCATCTCCTTTCCTAAAGGATGGTCCAGTGTATCCTATGCTAAAGGAGGTTATAAAGGAAGCATTGACCCACCTTTCCTTAACTTTTAGAGAATTCAAACGGCTCTTATCATGAGAGAGAGTGAGAGACAGAGAGAGAGAGAGAGACAGAGAGAGAGAGAGAGAGAGAAGAGAGAGAGAGACAGGAGACAGAGACAGAGAGAGAGAGACAGAGAGAGAGAGACAGAGACAGAGACCAGAGAGAGAGACAGAGAGAGAGAGAGAGACAGAGAGAGAGACAGAGAGAGAGAGAGAGAGAGAGAGACAGAGAGAGAGAGTGAGAGACAGAGAGAGAGAGACAGAGAGAGAGAGAAAGAGAAAGAGAGAGACAGAGAGAGAGAGAAAGAGAGAGAGAGACAGAGAGAGAGAGAAAGAGACAGAGAAAGATAGAGAGAGAGGGAGAGAAAGAGAGGGAGGGAGAGATAAA